GTGCACGCGCCCGCGCGCGGCCAGGTGCAGCGCCGCGGCGTTGATGCCAGCGTGCAGCCCAAAGTCGTCCACGCACACACACAGGCGCGGCGGCAGGCGGGGCACATCCACTGGTTCGTGCTGGTGGGTTGCCTGGCGGCGGCGGTGCATTGGCTGTGTGTCGTCGCCCTGGTGGAGCACCGCGGCTGGCAGCCGCTGGCCGCGAACGTCGTGGGCTGGCTGGTGGCGTTGAGTGTGTCGTTCGTCGGTCATCACCTGGGCACCTTCCGCGGCCACGGCGCGCAGGTGTCGCAGGCGTTGCCGCGCTTCTTGCTGCTGTCGGCCAGTGGCTTCGCCATCAACGAGAGCGCCTACGCGGGGTTGCTGCGGTGGGGTGGGCATCGCTACGACCTGTGGCTGGCGTTGGTGCTGGTGGCGGTGGCAGGCATCACCTACCGGCTGGGGAAGCTGTGGGCGTTTGCGCGCAAGCCGGCTCCACCCGCCACAGACGCAGCGCGCCCGTCTGGGCAATAACAGGCGCGTGGGCCAGCAGCGGCTGGCTTGCTGCCTGGCTCACGTCACCCACCACCCAGGTACGCGGCGCGGCGCACAGCCTGCCAGCCAGAGCCTCGGGGCGCACCAGTTGCCGTGCGGCCTGCGCGGGCGCGAAGCGGCCGGCGTCTGCCAGCTCCTTGCGCCAGTTGTCTCGCTGGTCGATGGCCGCGCTGCCCCAGTCGTCCACCACCAAGGCAGGCTCGGTCAGGCGCGCGTATAACGGCAGGTCGTACACGTAGCCGCCCACCATCACGACAGGCTCGCTGGGCTGGCGAGCATCGCGCAGAACTAGCGCCAACGAGCGGGTTGTGTGCGTAGGGCGCGTGCTCAGGCCGATGGCCACGCCAGGCCCAATCAGCGCAGCCGACAGTGTGACCATCTGCCAACCCCGTGGCCAACGCCCGCTGGCCGTGAGCCCGTACGCCGCCAGCCAGGCAAGCGGTGGCACCGCGGGCAGCACGTAGCCAATCAGCTTGGACTGCGGCAAAGAGAAGAAAACCACCACTACGGCGGCCCACAGCATCATCAGCAGGCGCAGTGATGTAGCCGCGTCACCAGCAGGCGCTGCTGAGGGCGCTCGGCGCCACAGCCATGCCGCCCAAGGTAGGAACGCCACCAGAAGTAGCGCCGGGTAGAACCAAACTGGCTGCACGTTGTTGAAGCCGCCGGCCGCAAAACGCTTCACGTGCTGCACGATGAAGAAGTAGTCGAAGAAGCCGTCATAGCGCTGCTGCATGATCACGAACCACGGCGTCGCGATCAACGCCAGCAGCGCAAGCCCGGGCAACGACAGCAGCCGCGGCAGCAGCCGCAACCGGCGCGTGGCCAGCAACCACGCCAGCAGCACCAAGGCCGGCAACACCACGCCGATGAGCCCCTTGGCGAGCACGCCCACGCCTGCCATCGCATAGCCACCCCACAGCGCGGCGCGCCAGCGCTGGCCTGCCTCCAGGCTCAGCGTGGCATTGGCCAGCAGCGCGATGGTGGCCGCGATGCAGCCAGCCACCAGCATGTCGAGGTTGGCGAACTGGCCGCCCAGGTAGAACAGCGGCTGCGCCAGCAGCGCGAGCAACGTCAGGCGCGCGAGCGACCGGCCCACCCAGC